TTGCGTTAAAAACCGACATTAAGGCGAAGTGAAACCCCCCTCAAATCAGTCGACTCGAATATGACACTTCTTTTTAAGGGTATTGCATCGAACCGTCCAATTAATTGTTTAAGGTGAAGTGAAACACGCCGAGGAATTTGATCGACGTCGATACAGAAGATTTTTCTAAATGCCTACGTTCGTTTTTATATTGACAGCTGGGTCGAATTATATTGGGTATTGTACCAAACGGCATACTCCACCTGTCGTTTTTGTACAATAATTATAAAGAAGTCGAAGTAGAACTCCAGAATCCCCTGGATTCATGGTTTCTGAGGCCATAATTGACTGCAGAAGGACCCTCTGCGCCATCTGTGACTTCCAGGTCAATTAAATTTTCCCTCCAAGACCTCGTATTCCCATCGTCTTAGCATAGAAGCGCATAAGACACTTTTTTGTCTTTATCCCGCTCAAATGCGAGTTTATCGATTACCAGAGTGTTCTAAATTCTCGTTAAATTGGCCTCATGCTTTCGTTTCTCATATCAGAGACTTTAAAAATTGTATATTGATCGAAATATGAGAGCTCGAAGACATTTTGGTTCTGGTCTGGGCTAAGTTAAAAAGTGTTTTTGGAAAAATCCAAATTTTTAATGTGTCAGGACAATTCTTACGAGGAAGGTATCCCAGGTCGACCTCTCCGATTTGATTTCTTTTATAATCTGTTATAGTAGACTAAAAACTAAGCGACACTTTTTTTTTTATCTGCCATTAAACACTTGAAGGGGGTGAAACCACCATCCAAAGTAAGACCTGTGAGGGGTGGCCCACCCCTTAATATTTTTTTTTAATTGAGAAAATTATAATTTTCATTTCTCGTTATGAGAAAACTTTTCCAGGTGGATTGGTTAAAAAATATTATGTTCTTGTGGGTGAAACTGCCAATTCTCCCCTTGACTTTGGATGGTGGTTTCGCCCCCTTAAAGTGTTTAATGGCAGATAAAAAAAAAATAAGTGTCGCTTAGTTTTTAGTCCACTATGACATATTATAAAAGAAATCAAATCGGAGAGATCGACCTGGGATACCTTCCTTGTTAGATTACCAGTCATGTATCAAAGTTTCGGACAGTTCGGTCCAACACCCTTAAAAAAAAGTGTTGTATTCGAATCGACTGATTTGAGGGGAGGTTCAACTTCACCTTAAGCCGTTATCTGCGCAGTTTGAAAAGAGAATCCAAATTTTGAATGTGTCAGGACAATTATTAGATGATCACGAGTCATGTGTCAAAGTTTCGGACAGTTTGGTCCAACACCCTTAAAAAAAAGTGTTGTATTTGAATCGACTGATTTGAGGGGGGTTCAACTTCACCTTAATGGGACAACTTTTAATTGCACCGAGAACAGACGTTTCCAACAGATAGGCACCTGTAACTTTTAAGCTCTTATTTTTCTCCGTGTAAGGGATCCTGAGTTGGACTTTATAGGTTATGCGAAAGCAAGGGCACCTTTTCCTATTTTCTGCGACTATTGCAAAACCCGCCGTGACGCGGCTCTACTGAAATCGATCCCAGGTTAAGCGCGACGAAAGGTGATCGATATCTGCCCTCGCGTGTCAATGATTGGCGGATCGGTGTTAACGTTCCACAACGACTCGTATCCTTAGAGCTCTTTTCCGCTCCCTTCTTCGATTCGTCTCGTAATTCTCAGCCTGCGCCCGCTCGAACGCGGCCACTCTTGACTTGGTCTTAATGACTTCATTGAAACACAGCTACGTACAAGACAGAGCGAGAAACAAAGAATAGCGATCTCGCTAACGAGGGGGCAATTAACCGAAAAGAAATTACGCAAAGTCCTCGGCGGTTTGTTAGAGCGATTTATCTCGGAGCGATAAGGAGTTAGTGTCAGTGACAAGGCCTGATAAGCGAAGCGCTCGGAAAAAACGCATTTGCCCTCCTGGCATAAGACAGCATTGCTGATAACATTTTGTCCTCCTTGCAGTAATAACTGCACTAACAGTAAAAACGTTTGCAATTGTCCCAAACGTGGATCTAACATAAGGGAACTTCCTTTAGCCCTTTGAACACGGAGCCATTTCGACATATGGGCGAAATTCGTCTGACCGTGCAGGCAATATTGAACCAAACGTCGGGCGCCTTTAGGTGCTCTTAGTAGCCAAAGGGTTAAGGCTGCCACGAGGTTGCTGGTGGTTTTCTAAAGCCACGATGCTGCGGAATAATTATACAAAGTGGGGGCGATCGCTGTTTGATATCAGTTCTTTAACCCTTCGAAAACGGAGCCATTTCGACATATGGACGAAATTCGTCTGACCGTGCAGGCAATATCGGACCAAACGTCGAACGCCTTTAGGCGCTCTTAGTAGCCAAAGGGTTAAGGCTGCCACGAGGTTGCTGGTGGTTTTCTAAAGCCACGATGCTGCGGAATAATTATACAAAGTGGGGGCGATCGCTGTTTGATATCAGTTCTTTAACCCTTCGAAAACGGAGCCATTTCGACATATGGGCGAAATTCGTCTGACCGTGCAGGCAATATCGGACCAAACGTCGGACGCCTTTAGGCGCTCTTAGTAGCCAAAGGGTTAAATATTGAAAAACAAATATAAATTATAGATTCCTTCGATATTGTAAGTCGCAGTTTCTCTTTACATAAATTGTTTCAACGTTGTTAAAGCGTGCAAGGGTTAAAGAGTCATTCTATGTATGTAAAGCGTCAAAATGTGTATAAAACGAGTGCACCGAAATCATTTGAACTTACGTCTCGTTAGGTAATACATTCTAAATAGAACCACCAAATTATTCACCGAAATCAACAGACTTTAGAGAACGTAATGCTTAACCCTTTGAAAAGTGAACATAAAAAAAGGTATGAGTATGGCACCTTATAGCAGCAGTCCGATCATATTTAATTAAAAGTGAGGTACGAGTAAGGGCCCAAGAAATGTCTTAATTTAGTGGTTCAATACCGTTAAGACGGTAAAATCCGGGACTTTAGATGAACAACTTAACATTTCACCTAGCGAGGAGTTAACCCAAGAAGTCCGAGTCTGTCGCGAAATTCCCTTCTCCGGTCGCGTTAACCTCTAATGACGGCAGTTGACACGAGTTTCTGCCGGCCTTGGCACCTCGGCTCCTTAACACTGTGCACTTTTGTGTGCAACGTTGCATAACAGAGAATTGCCTCAGACGTATTATTTCAGAATTTCAACGCGCGGTCCCGCCTCGACTGAGGCCGCTGTTTTGTGAACGGCTATGCTCTCGACTTCGCTTCCGGCACACGACCTTATATCGATCGATCGACTGGCGAAATTTCAAGCAAAGCCGTCGGAAATCGTACCCTGGAGAACTCCAATCTTTACAGGATGTTTGGATAGCTAGTCGCGGCGGAAAGGCGAGCGCGAAAGTGTTTAGCAAATACCGGCGCGCTTAAATCGACCGGGTGTTCCGATTCACACCTACGATGCCGACCTTCGTCCGACGGGAGGTGACTTCTTGAGAAATCGAGGAAACCGAGAAGACCAAACCCTCTTCGCCTTGCGGGAAACCGCGAGGCACATCGCGATCGGTTCTCACGTGACGATCGGTTCGACGAGGCGTAATCTCTCCCGGTACCGAGATCACGCGATTTGCATAGGCATTGCGCGCCGGACCCGCCCCCGTCGCTCCACATTCCTTAGGCTATACGTAAAAGCGTGCACGATCCTCCCCAAGGATGAAAAATCCCAGTCACGGAGACCGCCGAACGATCCGCGGCTGTCCGAGCAGGATTTTCCACTCGTCCGCGTCGACGGTCGCCAGGGACGCGGCGTCCGTGGCAACGGTTGCTAGGGTCGCGGCGTCCGTAGCAACGGTTGCTAGGGACGCGCTTGGAGCGCTTATTCCCGTGGAAATACACGATGGTCGGTACCCAGGGCCATAAATATCGGCAAGGGACGGGCATTTCTTGCGATCGTCCGGATCAGGGCCGTTGCGTCCCACGTAACGTGCGTCTCACGCCCAGCTGTACTGAAAATCCATTTAACGATGCTAATCCCCCGGACCTATCCCGACCGCGTCACCGCGCGTAATCTGAAATTATAGCAGTGCCGTCGGCGTAATCACGGGGGGAAAAAGGGTCGGGGACAATCGACGCCACGGGCGATCTCGATGACACAAGTCGCTTTGTTTCGGGCCTAATTGCAAGCGCGACAGAGTGATTCCTGGAGGAAAGCGACGGGGGAGAAATAACGTTTACGTAAAGGATCGGCCAGGAAACGCCCGAAGAGGAGCCGGGACTGCTCTGAGGCAATTCCTCCGCGTTCCTTTCGTACGGATTTACGAAGCATGGCGCACACAGCCGCAACTCTACCGCGTTTTAATAACGCATTGAATATTCCTTACATAATTGGAAAGCGCCCGGCCGATTTTCGCGTTATATAGCGGCGCGTTAATGCGCGATGCCCGCAATTAAAGCGTTGACGCCCGGTGAACATAATGAATGCGCGTTAACGTAATCATCGGAATCCCCCTTGGGTATTTCGTGAGTTCCTCGGCGCTTGCGCAAATCTCCGCGTCGAACGGTCTTCTGGGTTGCGGTTGCTCCACATTTCGGGGCAAACTTTCGAGCACCTCGACTAGGTGGTACACCTCGATTTCCCGAATTTCATTGAATTCCCAACGAGTTCCATTGAAATTTCATTGAACAGAAAGACCGAGGCCGGAATATCCTTGGGATGCTCGCCGCGGGCAGAGGAGCGTTTCACAATGGGATTTTCACTTTTCCGCCCGAGGCCGCGCAATGTCACGGCACCGAGGGGACGCGTTAAACGCGGTAACGCTAATGCGGACCTTTTGCGACATTATCAAATTGCCTAGGGAGTTATTCGCTTTCGCGGGGGCCTCTCGAGTAAATTAGAGGATCTTAATGAGACGCCGTCGGAGCCTCGACTCTTTTCTCCAACTTTTTCTGCGCACCTGAACACTTATGACTTCCGGAAGCTATCTATTGACGCGCGATGACATCCCGCAGAGAACCTGGCCCCCTCCGAGCTGAAGAAGCTGAGGAACAAGCAGAGGAAGCAGCGTAGGAAGGCGGAACTGGAGAGACAGCAGGCTGCCCAGGCTCAGGAGAAACGGGAACAGCACAACAAATCTCGACAGCAGGCGGACTCCGACCTGGAACAGCCTACCCTGGACGAGCTCATCCCGGAAAAGCTGGAAAGGGTGAGAGACATCGTCGAGTACAATACCGTCCCTCAATTTATGCGCATAATCCGTGGCTGTGTGTTCTTGTTCGGATATTTTTTTCTTTCGTACCGACAGACATTATTTACGGGATCTTCATTCGCGTGATACAAATCCACGTGGAGTGGATTCTGGTTGTGTGAATCTGGAATCCAGTATGAGGCACAAACAAAATTAACAGGCTTATTGGATTGTTCCGTGACGTAGACGTTTGTGTCATATTGTTTTGCCGGTGGCATTTTTTTTCCCCACAAAAACCAGAGCTCATCAGAAAGATAAAGAAATTCCGAAATCGTGGAAATTTGGAGCTTTCGACTCTAATGGGTTCTCTGATGGTAGGAAAATTCAGAGTCTCCCAAAACCTCCAAAAAAGTTAAAATGGTAATTTTTGAAATTTATTTATTTTTTAATAGTTCTGGTTTTTGTATTGGAATGTTTCCGGGGTGTAGACGTTTGTGTCATGTTGTTTTGTGTGTGGCATTTTGTTTTTTTTGTCCCCACAAAAAACAGAGCTGATCAAAAAAATAAAGAAATTCCGAAATCGTGGAAATTTGGAGTTTTCGACTCCATGATGAAGATGATTATGATGACGATGAAGATGATAATTATGGTGACGATAAAGATGACGAGAACTGATCGAGGGGATCCTTTTCCAGGTGGAGGACCCCCTGGAGCAGGCGATAAAGTTCCTGCAGCCTCTGCAGCAGTTGGCGTCCAACCGGATAGAGACGCACCTGATGGCCTTCGAGATCTACTACCGTAAAGGTGAGAGAATTCTTTTTCATCCTTTGCTCCTTGTTAAGATGAGATGAAAGGGTCATTCTATATATTTACATTCTATATAATACATAACGTAAAAATATTGATAAAACTTTTCTCCCAACTGGGTGCACCCAATCATTTGATACTTCAGCACGTAATTATGAAGGCCCTAAAGAAAAACGCTCATGAAATTTCATTTTTCAACAAAGAAACATGTATTCTTGGTTCAAGTCTGAGGTAAATAGAAAAAAATGATATATTAAAATTGTAATTGCATTAGCACGACGTTCTTCCTCGGGGCCACTATAATCATATGCTGAAGTTTCCAACGATTCGGTTAANATATATGTGTGTAGGTTTTATAAATATTCTCACATTATATATGTACAATGGGGGATATGAATACCTCCCCTGCAGATACGTCATCGCCTGTGCAGGATGGGAGGGCATTGATGTCTCCCAGTGTATGTATAGGATGACCCTTTCATATCACGTTAAAAAAATGATATGAATTTATCCATATCGCGAGATACCGAACCATGGTCCTAAAAAAGTCGGTCTCGAGCACGTCGACCTCATCCTCTGGTGGCAAGTGTAATGAGTACCCTCTTCAGGTCGGACGCTGCTGATGCTGCAGTCGATAAAGCGAGCCCACCGGTTGGACGCGAACAACCCGGAGCTGCACGCCTGCCTGGTGCGATTCCGGCAGCACGTGGCCGGGGCGACGTTGGAGGGTGCGGTCGCCGAGGTGGTGTCGCGGCAGACCCGCGACGTCTACGGGACGTCGTCTGCGGCTCAGCTGAACACGGAATACCTCAGGAAGAACAGCCGCTCGTTGGCGCACCTGCTGCAGGGTGCGCGGATGATGTGCCTGCTGGATGCGTTCTCGCAGCCGCGGGCGCTGTCGCTGGTGACGCAGCTGGAGCAGATCGGGGGCGCCACCCTGGAGACGTGCACGAGGGTGCTGGATGCGCTGCGCAGCGGCGAGCTAGGCCACTGCGAGGAGGCCGTCGTCCGAGAGTACGCCGCCAGGTGCCAGAAGCGCTTCCCGTACGCGACCGCGTTCCGGTCGGCCGAGCCGAAGGCGACGGCCAACCACCAGGACAAGGAGAACTCGATCAAGAACTGATCCCTGCAGGGGACGCCCCTCGTCGTCGAGCCGAGCCGCAGTTAGGGGAGAGCGCCGGGCCTCCGGGTTCGACGTCGAGCGCGGTCTCGCCGAGGAACCCGAGAAGACCTGAAGTTCGCCGAGAGGAGGCCGGGGACCGTTCGACCCTTCAGGGTATCGTCATCGTACCGCGGGGGACCGCGTGGCGCCACGAGGATGTGCGATGCTACGTGGGAGTGTTTCCACCTGTTGAACTGTGCACATGGACGGGGTCTTCGAGGATGAGGTGGTAGTAGGAGAGACTTTCCCCTTGACGCCGGGGGGAGGGAACGGGAGGACGGAGGCAGGTCGGCTCGAAGACGACGGCTGATCGTCGGGTTGAGGACAACTGGATCAAGAACCGATCCCTACCGGGAGTTGTCCTCCTCTTCAGGGTACCGCGTGGCGCCACGATGAGGTCTTCCCTGGGGTGCAGGACCACCCGCTGGACAGTGCACGTCGACGGGCTCTTCAGGGCGAGACTTCCCTCTTGATGACTGGCCCTGGGAAAGGGAGGAGGCCGATCGTCTCGTCCGGGCACGGGACGGCTCGGTGCTGAGGAAAGGAAGAGTCAAGTAGTTAGGAGATCCGAAGAGACCCCACCGTAGATCCCCGAATTAACGGCACGTCGCGACCACCCCACGTCGAACCGCGGCACCCTTGCGTTATCTCGAAAGTGTCCTTGGGACGTAATCGCGGACCCGGCTCTCCGCGTCCGCACGGATCGTGATGATTGTCTTTTACCGAGCGACCTCCGATTTTAGAGAATCCAGTCAATTCCACGTCGGTGTCGAGGACGCGCCAGAGAGGTCCGGGTCTCGCGTCGAGGTCCGCGTCGAGGCCCGCGGGCACTCTTCAGGGTGGCCCGAGGAGGAGGCTGCGACGAGTCGGATACTTCAACTCGTTGAACTTGAATAGTCAACTCGTTGAACTTGGATAGTCAACTCGTTGAGACGGATACTTCAACTCGTTGAGTCGAATACTTCAACTCGTTGAGTCGGATACTTCAACTCGTTGAGTCGAATACTTCAACTCGTCGAGTCGAATACTTCAACTCGTCGAGTCGAATACTTCAACTCGTCGAGTCGAATACTTCAACTCGTCGAGTCGGATACTTCAACTCGTCGAGTCGAATACTTCAGCTCGCTGAGTCGAATACTTCAACTCGTTGAGTCGCGAATACTTCAACTCGTTGAACCTTGTATTCGAGTCAATTCGAGTCGTTTATATCGTAACGAGGTGTTTTGAGTAACTCGAGGTGGAAGGTACGGTAGGGCGAGTTAGGCTAGAGTACACGAACGTCCTTTCTAGGTTGTTACAACGTCCGTCGTGGAAGTATATTATGACTTGTGGTGGAGGGCATACGAGCGATGTGCGTCGTCTTTGTTGTAACTTATCCGTTGTAACGTACGTCGTTTTTTACGCTCGTGTGGCTCCGGTCTTATTCGTTAAGGGGATGTGAAAGTGGCATCCAAAGGGTCGATCATTTATGAAACTTTTCTATGAACCGGGTGTACGTTTCAAACTTTACAACTTGAACGTGGAAGCTATAAGGAAGGTCCCGACACTCATGGAATTTCATTTTTTGTAACAAATTTTAGGAATATGACCAAATAAAAAAAAGAGGTTTTATGAGTTTCAGAACATTTCTTATACCCTCCACATTTATATTGTAAAGTTTGAATCAATTCGGTTCACCCAACTTGGAGAAAAGTTTCATAAATGAAAACTGTTTCATGCTACTTTAACATCACTTTAATTCAATATAGGATGTATGAGGACACGGTTCTCCTTTCTTCGTCGAGTTGTTCGAGTCCAAACTCGAGTCAACAATGGTTTAGAATCGAGTCACCCTAGTTCGCAGTTTTTGAATTCGAGTTGGTAAATTACTCGACTCGTCGCATCACTATTCGAGTTCTAATTCGAGTTGGCAATGTCTTCGAATTCGAGTAACTCTAGTTAAACTATTCGACTCTCCACATCACTACTCGAGTTGTTAACGTTCGAATTCGAGTAACTCGAATTGACAGCGTGTTCGAATCAAGTAACTCGAATCGACAATGTATTCAAATCTATTAACTCAAGTTAACAATGTCTTCGAATCGAATAACTCAAATTGACAGTGTGTTAAAATCGAGTAACTCTAATTGACAATGTATTAAAATCGAATAACTCGAATTGACAACGTGTTCGAATCAAGTAACTCGAATCGACAATGTATTCAAATCTATTAACTCAAGTTAACAATGCGTTCGAATCAAATAACTCGAATTGACAGTGTGTTAAAATCGAGTAACTCTAATTGACAATGTATACGAATCGAGTAACTCAACTTGACTTTGTCTTAAAATCGAATAACCCGAATTGACGTGTTCAAATCGAGTGACTCGAATTGACAATGTGTCCAAATCGAGCAACTCGAGTTGGCAAAATTTTCGCATTAGAGTAACTCGAGTTAACCATTCGACTCGTCACGCCACGCCTCGATTCGAGCCTCAAGTTGGCAATATCTTCCAATTTCAGTAACTCGAGTTAAGCCATTCGAATCATCGCATCCCAACTCGAGTTAACCCTTTGGCCACTAAAAGCGCGTAAAGGCGCCCGACGTTTGGTCCAATATTGCCTGCACGGTCAGACGAATTTCGCCCATATGTCGAAATGGGTCCGTGTTCAAAGGGTTAAACCATTCGACTCGTCGTATTTCAGTAACTCGAGTTAAGCCATTCAACTCATCGCAGCCGAACTCGAGTTAACCCTTCGACCACTAAGAGCGCGTAAAGGCGCCCGACGTTTGGTCCAATATTGCCTGCACGGTCAGACGAATTTCGCCCCTATGTCGAAATGGGTCCGTGTCCAAAGGGTTAAACCATTCGACTCGTCGCATTTCAGTAACTCGAGTTAAACCATTCGACTCGTCGTATTTCAGTAACTCGAGTTAAGCCACTCGACCCATCGCAGCCGAACTCGAGTTAACCCTTTGGCCACTAAGAGCGCGTAAAGGCGCCCGACGTTTGGTCCAATATTGCCTGCACGGTCAGACGAATTTCGCCCATATGTCGAAATGGGTCCATGTCCAAAGGGTTAAACCATTCGACTCGTCGCGGCGCAACTGCGGATTTCTCGGAGCGCCCGTCCGCGGGATCGTCCTCGCGTTGCAGAATCGAGAGCCAAAAGACGAGGGGGCGTCCTATCAGTACATTTTGATACTATCTCATCGACGTCTCTTATCAAGGTGTCGCTAGTATCGTAACATGGGGGAGCCTCCGTCAGGGGACTCCGCCCTGGCCGGTTCCCCTCGTCAAACTTTTACCCCAAACTCGGTCCGAAACTCCCCCGGAGGAGCCTCGACCTGGACGATCTCCGCCAACGGGCCCCCATCCTTAATAATCGGTAGCATCGAACGACTTCTCTCCTCTAGCGACCCCTAGGAGTCGGTCCAGGACGAACTGCGTACCGTTTCGCTGCGCACAGTACCAAAGTATAAAAGAAAAGCACGTCTGTGAATCATCGCTGCCGGTCGACGAGGAAGGGTACCTCCACCACGTGCCGCGAGACATGCGAGTCCTCGAGCGAGAAAAATAAAAGAGGAGGAGACCTTCGGACGTCCTCGAGGCGGCGACTGGGTCTTCGGCAACGTCTAGAGGGTCGGGATTATCTCCCAAGCCCCTCCTCGAAGGCTTTTCCCGCTCTTCCCACGAAGAGGAGGGGTCCCGTCTTCGGCCACGAGGTCCGGAGGTCTCTCTACCCTGAAGAGATGCCCAAGGTCCTCCTCCTCGTAGATACCGTAACCCTCACCAGTAGATACTTAAGGGACGTTAAGAGGTAACTTCGTTTTCCGCGTCTCTCCGTCTGCGTTTTTTGGGGGACGACATACCGCGTCCGGGGCTAATGTGATCAGAAACCTAATGCGAGCCCGAGAGAGAGAGAGTGGGAACGCTTTGGTGTGTGCGATTGTGCGAGAGTTAATTAACTGCGTAATGCTGTATGTGTATATCTTGTCGAGCCCGATAACGTGTGTCGACAGGAAGAATGAATTTAAGGAGGACGTCTCGAAGAGACGAGCCCGCGACATGGCTGTCCCGACCGGGAAGAGGGGAGGCGCGACTCGGCCGCCGTTTAAACGAGGAACTGAATCGGCGACTCTCTATTTCTTTGTAACTAGGTCTAGGTAGGGACATGCCAGCAGGTCGTAGAGCCATGGAGTCGAGGAACGCGACTCGCGGTTACGTTGGGTCAGGGCGGCGGTCGGGCCGCGCTTTTCTCGCCGCTCTCTGCTTGTAACGGAACGATATCAATTGACTGCCCGAGAAGCTCGCCTAGATCGGACTCTTCGCGGTGGATGCGCGACCTTTCGATTAGGAACTTTTAGACGTTAATCACACCCGAGATATGAGGAATCAACGCGCAGTCCACTTTTCTCGATCTCGAAGGATCTGACCTTGCGCCATCGGTCGCTCTCCTCTTCGGCTAATCATTTGTACAGAACGTTGATGTCTACACTTCGGGAAGATTTGTACATTGATCGTTCCGATCACCTGGCCGAGCCTGCCAGCCAGGCTGGTCACTCTTAAACGGCTCGCCGCCGTCTAATCAATAGCAAAATAAATATCGCTCGTCGCTAATTCACGTCGACCAAGTCCCTCGTCCAGATTAACTTTGCCTCTCGGTCTGCGAACGTGCTCCTCGAGGAAGTAAGCCGTGCCTTTTGTCGGATATCCCAGCACCAGGTCACCCCGGAGAGGAGAATTTCTAGTGCTTCTCGGTGACTGTGATTACCAGAGACTCCTCGGAGCACCATGTTGGCACTCTCCGAAGAGTCATATGGGGTTCCGATGCAAATGGATGGTGTTCGTAGACCTCTGTGATTACCATGGGGAAGCCAGAAACTGCACGAAGCAACATGTTGAAATTCTGAACAGTTGTAGGGGGTTTTGATGCAGGTGGACAATGCTTGTCGATAACTGTGATTACCACCAGAAACTGCACGAAGCATCATGTTGAAATTCTGAACAGTTGTAGGGGGTTTTGATGCAGGTGGACAATGCTTGTCGATAACTGTGATTACCATAGGGAAGCCAGAAACTGCACGAAGCATCATGTTGGAACTCTGAACAGTTGTATGAGGTTTCGATGTAGGTGGACAATGTTTGTCGATAACTGTGATTATCATGGAGAGGCCAGTGACTGTTCGGAGCACCATGTTGGCACTCTCCGAGGAGTCGTATGGGGTTCCGATGTAAATGGACAATGCTTCTAGACCGCTGTGATTACCATGGGGGAACCAGAAAGTGCACGGAGCACCATGTTGGAACTCTGAAAACTTTTGTGAGGCTTCGATGCAGGTGGACAATGCTTGTCGACAACTGTGATTACCATGGAGAGGCCAGTGACTGTTCGGAGTACCATGTTGGCATTTTTTAAAGAGTCGTATGGGATTACGATGCAGGTGGACAATGCTTCTAGACCACTGTGATTACCATGGGGAAGCCAGAAATTGCACGAAGCACCATAATGGCACTCTTTGGTGAGTCATATGGAGCTCCGACACAGGTGGATACATGTCAGATTAGGAATTTTCAGAAGCAGAATGGGAGGTGAAAAACCGTGCATGTTCAATTAACGGATGCCGGGGACTCGGCTTAATGTTTAATTGTAAATCGTTCTGAGCTGCCGCTTATCGGCGGCTGTACAACCCTGGAGTCTTCAGTGTGTGGTGGAAACGTAATTGCAATATTGACTAATTAATTAATTGTTCCACTTGTACAAACGCGTCCAATAAAAAGTATCAATCGAATGTCCAGCAGTTAGCAATCCTTGCACCGGTAGACCAGAATTTAATGGTGCGATGGATCATTTGTCATTGGATTAAAATTAAAAGGTATTGTTAGATAACTTCAAAAATAAATGTGTCATCTGCCCTTGCACGTATTATTAAACTTGTAAGAAACATGTACTCATCCTATGATTCAGAACTACTGGCAGAGGCTATTTCATTATCCAATGCTTTAAAAAGTTTACCTTGTATCGTTCATATCTGCATTAACTTGCAACGTGTCAAATAGAGTAAATGATAAAGTTTGTTCATTTGGGGTATTTCTACACGATACACAGGTCTGAATTAGTCTTTCAATGGCGTTGGTGGCAGCTGTGTCATTTCTTTCCAATCGATCTCAGTGAAGTTTATTACAATCTGCTTGTTAGACGGTATATATTGTCTAAAATAAGAGAATGAAAATGATAGAAGTTTGCTTTGTATCATGCGACCTTTGAGAAAAGTAATAATTACTTAAATCCCTATAAATATTCTTTTGCAAGTTGAAAAAAAGCCAGTGAAATGTTTCTAGTCTAAATCACTATTTTAGGTTCAAAGTAATAACCACGTGCGGAGGTGAAATTACCTATATTCTACTCCGGCCGCATCGAACATTCTCTTTGATGCTATAGTTCCTATCTTCTCAGAATACTTGTCTGACATGTAAATGACTCTCTTGATTCCAGACTGAATGATTACCTTTGCACACTCGTTGCAAGGAAAGAGTGCTACGTACATTGAGCAGTCTGTCACATCGTGTGAATTCTTATTGAGTATTGCATTAACTTCGGCATGACATACTAGAATATAAAGATGATTATAAACTAATTACAACGTACATTCTTTAATACCAATGAAATCGTCTGTTTTACCATAAAGATATTTTGATTCCAGAACTTCTTCCGTGTCTTTCTTCCAAGGAAATTTGTCATCGCTACACCCTCTGGGCATTCCGTTGTATCCTAATCCAACGATTCTATTATCTCGATTAACGATACAGGCTCCAACCTGAGTACAAGGGTCTTTACTTCGTTTCGCAGTGAGAAATGCCATCGCCATAAAGTATTCATCCCAGCTTATATACGAAGATCTTTTACTATTCATTTCTCTATAAATAGTAGAATGTCAAAACGAATAAGTATTACGTATGAAATATTTATCTGGGAAGAAACATTCTTTTTACATTTATGATAAACATGTTTTACTCAACCTTTCTGTAGGGAATGCCGGTAAACATTCTTTATCTTTTGTAGCCATTATATGGGAAATATTTTCATACAGTAGATATTCAATAAATCGAAATTAATATAAGATCGGTTTTTGTTCTCTACTCATTATCGCGTTATTGAATAAAACCGGTAAGATCAGACATAACCTATACAGCTCAATAAAATTCACGCTAATTCATCTAAAATTGTTGCGATTGCAGCGCCACATAAAAATGAACTGTCTTCTTATTTCCATTCTTAGCGCAAAATTTTTCCCTCTTCCGTAAAAATATATTTCGTGGTTTTAGCCTTCTGAGTCATCGTGAGAATATTAAAAGGAGGCAACGTCAAAGATGAGTTGGGAGATTCACGGGAAGGATCGAGCGACCGCGTCCTGTGCGACCTCCGGTGGAGGATGCAGACGGCTAATGCACTTGCTACCTGTTACAACTCTGGGCAGCCAGAGAACCGGCTGAAAAAGCGAAGAACTCACAAAAACTCCAAAACCCTGTATCTCCTACGAAAAAAATTGCAGCCACTAGCTCGAGAGATCAATTTAAGCAGAACAACCTTCCCCATCAAGCTGAAAAAGTGATGAACTCTTCACAAAAACTTTAAACCCTGTGTCTCCTCTGAAAAAAATCGCAGCCACTAGCTCGAGAGATCAATTTAAACGGAACAACCTTCCCCATCAAGCTACCGTGGACGCAGTTCGCATCGCGACAAAAATTCACAAAGATCCTTTAACATATTTTAACATCTACCAACAAGTGCAGAAAGCTCGATTTCGATTAACTGCCCATGATGATTTTACCAAAAATGGCTGCTTCCAGGTGATCCACCTAAACCTGCAAAGGGGCACAAAAGTACAGGTAAAACGGAACATTGAAGAA